TGAAATGTTAATTCCTGCAAATCTGATTTGATTTAGGCAATCTGAGAAAATGCAAGGGAAGGAGGCTTGTAGATTGGAAAGCAATCTACAAATGTAAAATGATAATCATTATGAACCTATTCAGTAATTCTTCTGCTGAGTACCTTCTAAAGGGGTCACATAATGTGTCAGGGGCTAGGGCTATGGAACAAAGTCAAGCCAATTTCTTTACTCAAGATGCTCAGAGTCTGGTATGGGGCTGGGTGGAGAGGAAAAACAATAAAGAAACAGTTATGACAAGTGAGGTGACATTGGTACTGAAGAAGCACAATAGGAGTACAGGAGAGAATCATCTAGTTAGACGGGGAGTTGGCATGAGGAGCCTGTCTAAAGGAACTGACTCCTAAATGGTAAGTGTAAAAGCATGAACAAAGGGTAACTAGATAAGACAAAAGCGAATTTGTAAATGCTCCTGAAAAGATGCTCAAACTCACTAGTGACCGGGAGGCTACATATTAGAACAACAATAAAACATTGTTAGATTGGAAAAAATGAAGAAAGTGGGCAATATTCGGTATTGGCAAGGATGTGGGGAAACATGTGTTCTCATATGCTATTTGTGGGAATGTAAATTGGGATAGCCTTTTTGGAGGGATGATGAAAAATTAAGAATGTATTCATTTGGAGTTAGCCATTTTTTCCTAAAGATATCCTCACATGGTTTCATAAAGAGAACTGGAGAATGTTCATTATGGCATTATTGGGTGTAATGAGGATTTGGAATGGACTGTTCATCCGTAGGAGAACAAAACAACCCTACTATGAAATACCATGCAGAATTGCACAAGAATAGAAAGTGCTTCAATAAGTATTGTTAAAGCAAAGCATTAATTTACCATGTTATGCACAGTATAATGTTACTTATGGGGGAGATCCCAACGAAATATTTATTTCTTTATATACGGATTTACACATGTAATCACACAGAAGGAATCTGAACAAAATCACACTAAATTGATAACAGGACTTTCTCTTGGGAAAGGGGGTGAAATTGGGGGAAACCTTTGACTTTTTACTTTACATACCTCAGTATTTTTTGTAAGATGAAAATGTACTCATGATTTGAGTAGTTAAATTAAAAAGTGAAAATTTAGAAATGAGTAGAGTCAAGGGAGAAGTTGTTGCAGGTGGAGAGATTTGTCAGTGTATGGCAGGAAGAGTCCTTGGCTAGGAGCCATAGCGTCCACAGATGGTCCTTCCTGCCCATCCCTGCCCGACACTGCACCCCTTCTTGCCTTCTCCAGGACCTGGTTCCTTCCCTCATCCACCTTTCTCTCTTTGTTGGATCTTCCTCTCACTAAAAGCATGCTGTAGGAGTTCTCATGTAAAAAAAATGTCTCCCTGATCTTTTATTTCCCACCAGCTATCACCCCCTTTCTCTGTTCCCTTTAATAGTGAAACTTGTTAAATGAGTTGTTGATGCTCACTTCCTTCATCACCTCCTGGAAACTACTCTCAGCAGTCAGGTTCCCATCTCTGTCCAAGGAGACATTTCTGGCCAATCTCCCCTGCTCACCACCCTGCATACCCAGTGCTCTTTCTCCAACCCCATCCTCCTCTGCCTCTGGCAGCATTTGGCTGAAAGGCACTTGTCCTTTGGAAACATTTTCTTGGTCTGTAGGATACTGAACCCTTCTAGTTTTCTCTCCACTTCGAGAACTATTCCTTTATCTTCTCTTCCCAAACCTCTGCATGTTGGCATCCCCCAGCCTCCATCCATGGCCACATTTCTCTTTCACACTCATTCCGGCACAGAAGTTCTCAATTTGTTGCTCTCAGAACCATTTTATACTCTTCAAATTACTGAGGAACCCAGAGAGCTTTCTTTCTTTTTTTTTTTTTTAAAGATTTTATTTATTTATTTGACACAGAGAGAGAGAGAGAGCACAAGGAAGGGGAGCAGCAGAGGGAGAGGGAGAAGCAGGCTCCCTGCTGAGCAGGGAGCCCGATGCGGGGCTCGATCCCAGGCCCCCGGGATCATGACCTGAGCTGAAGGCAGACGCTTTAACGACTGAGCCACCCAGGTGCCCCGAGAGCTTTCTTTATGTGATTATAGCTGTCAGTATTTATATGTTAGAAATTAGAACTTAGAAATTTGAAAGCATATTTAATTATTAACTCATTTAAAATAATAAACCCATCACATGTTAACATAAGTAACATTTTTTTTCTGAAAAAATATATTTTCCAACCCTTCCTCCAATTAGTGAGAAAAATGGCATCATTTTACAATTTTGCAAATCTCCTTAGTGTCTGACTTTAATAGAAGACAGCTCTGTTCTCATCTCTGCTTCTGCATTAAATCTGTTGTGATATGTTGTTTTGATGGAATTATATGAAGAAAATCTCATCTTAAACATACATGTAGCTGGAAAAGGGAGTAACATTTTAATATCTTTTTTAGATAAGTATGGATAGCCTTCTTTGATTCTATACCAAAACTTGAGACGTGGTATTTTCTTAAAGATTGATTAGTTGCAATGTAGAGTCTGAAAATATATCAATGAACTTTTTTGGCACCACATTACATTAAAATGCATTGGTCTATCTTGTACTTTGAGTGGATTTTTTACCCATGCATGGTTTTACATATCATATACTGGTCATTTAGAAAATATTGGCTGAGTTACGCGGGTATTCTAAATGTTGATACATTTTATGATATAATATTGAAAAATCATATTTGTTCCTTGCACTATATATCTATTAGAAAGGTTTTGAGTATTAGGAAGATGTCAAGTTCATAAGAGAAAATGCAAGTTTTCAAAAATTCAGAATTTTCTCTGAAAGCTCAAATTTTATGATTAACAATCAATACTGTCAGTTGTTTTCCTTGAAGTTCCCTCATTTCAGATACAATATCTGCCACATATCCAATCTGAATCCCTATAATTTATTTTCTAGTTCTTTTCAGTAAAACTGGTGTTCCATGAAAAAACTGATTGGAGTGGACTTTAGCTCTCAACTCCTTTACGCAAGTGTTTTCCTTAAGACAATCATATTTTATTATGCAGCAAAAGTGCTTTATGTATATCTCCCATTTCATCAGATGAAAGTATTAAAAATCATGTATATGCTTTAATAAAATTAATGTTTCTGCTTCATAGATGAACTTTTCAGGGGAAGATGTCCCCCTCTTTTTTAAAACCAGGACCGTGTAGAGGTGAAGACCACAGTACTACTAATACAGTTTGGTGCCACCGCTTTGATTCATGCTCAGATGTCAGCACCTTCACCCACTGCTGCTCTTGCGCATCAGTATAAATGGCTGCACAGCACGAAAGACAAATGCTGTTTTAATTCTGTTGTGAAAATGGTTTTTACCTTGTGGATCCCCTGAAAAGGTCTGAGAGACCCTCCTCCCAGCAGTCCACGGACCACACTTGGAAAAGCACTGATGTAGACCACACTCCACTATAATCAGCCTCAGCTAACTTCAAATGACCAACTCTCCAGCTAATTATTTGTTTTGCAAAGTATAATTATAAGACGGCTAATCATTGGCACTTACATCACATGTAATTTTTGAATAATGGATTTAATAAGGTTATTAAGCTCATTAGTGTTTAGTACTTACATGTCTTTTTTTAAAACATGAAATTAGGTTAGCAAATCTTAGCTGCAAATCCCTTCTCTCCAATTTTCTGTTTTTAACACCCCAAGTGACTTGGTTTGGAATTATACACTGCTTTTCAAAATTGTTCTCTCATATAATGTCTATTGGGTTGGAGAGAATAGATAACCTTTAACACTCAGATTCTAGGACACCTCTCATCAAAGATGTGTGTTTAAATGTCCTTGAATAGCATTACTGTGCCACTTTTCACAATAGCTATGTCTATTCTTTCTAAGCATGTGCTATGTTTCTGGCCCCAAATAGCAAGTCTAAGCCAGAGGCAGAGGGAGCAACATTTACTCTAGAAAATTCCATGTAGTTTGCACCCACTTATGTTGGCCCACTGATCTCACTCTTCCTTCCTGCCTAATATAACTTTGGTAATTGCTCTTGGCTCTTTTGGCTTTCATGATTTTTTATGGCTAACTTCATCTTCTTTTTTTAAAGTTCTGATTGCTACCCTGTTTTTCCTCTCAGTTCCCTCTGCCTTCCAGCTTTGAAGGACTTCTCTACCATTTAGCCCCAGCCTGCAGAACTCTACTGACTGGACCATCCCTGGCCCCACTTTCAGAAGGGGATTTGGACAACCATAAAAGCTCAGGATATATGCAGTTGGGTTCAAGTGGTTATTTTTGTAAAGGGTTTGGAGTTATCTGTTTCCCTTTCTGAGGTTTGCTTGGAGGAAACAGTACCCATAAGGGACAATTATGGAGTGCCACTTTAACGAATAGATGGTCCAGCACCCAGTACCACACAGTGCAGGGCTTACTATGCGAGGGTTCAGACTTTATGGCACGGCAACGCTGGCCCTAGAGAAACATGGTTCCTAGAATGTTTCAGGCTCTGATCCATTAAAGCAGCCAGGTCTTTCTTCTCTGAAGGCACAGCTAGTTAAGGGGTGGAGAAAAACATATTTGGTGGGGAGATGCAGCAGCACAGTTTCCTACCAGCTTCCTCCAATGCTTCTAAACCAAGCAGCATCATAAGGTAGCTTGTGGACTTTAATAGCACATTGCCCTGTAGCCACTAAACTTGAACACTGGGGAGAACTTCAGAGATGGCTAGGTACAACTCAACTTCAACATATAAATGAGGTCCAGGGATGCTCTCTATTCCACTGAGGGCCTACAGAACCAGAACCTTGTACCTGCAAATACAGTTTTCCTCCTACTGCATCACACTGATTCACAGGGTTCTGGAATTTTAAGTATTGCTTGTAAATTAGAAGTCCTTCCTGAGTTTTGGTATTGTTTCCCATATTTCCACATGTGTTATGGGGCCTTGGGTTCTTTACCTTAAATAGGATTTTTCTCTTACATTAATTGCTTTTGAAGGTGATCTGAACATGAAGTACTCTTTTTAATCTTTAGAAAAATACCTTTTTCTTCTTACTCACAGTTATAATTCTCCTTCCCAATGTTAGTTACTGTTGGGTTCCCAGCCTCCAAACTACCAGCTTCACAAGGTGGGTTTTTTGTTTTTTGTTTTTGCCTTTGAATCACTCAATTGCTTTTTGAATCACATTGGGAAGACAAAAACAAAAACAAAAACAAAACCCCACATGGTTTTAAAAGATACTGCTTTTTGAATTTTCTGGACCCTGAGTGTCAAGAGAACTTTAATAGCACATTTTTGTTAATATAGACTCAACTGAAGGATATAAAGATTTGTGTTCTGTTTTTGTTTTTTTTTTGAGAGAGAGAGAACATGTACTAGCAGTGGGGGAGGGGCAGAGGGAGAGAGAGAATCTTAAGCAGGCTCCACGCTCAGCATGGAGCCAATGCAGGGCTCAATATCATGACCCTGAGATCATGACCTGAGCTGAAACCAAGAGTCGGATGCTTAACCAACTGAGCCACCCAGGGACCCCAGAATGTAGATTTATAAAAGTAAGGGGTTGTGTTTGTCTTTTAATGCATGCATGTAATTTCAATTAGTTCCATTTATCTTATAAAAAAGATACGAAATTTTGAGGGGTGAAGGGTATATTGGAAAAAGAAAAGGAAAGCAACCATTTTCTCTCCCAAACTTCATTCTTTTGCTTTCAAAGGTACATTTTCCAAAGAACATTGTTAATACACAAAGCATGAGGCCGATCACAGATAATAGGAAGCACTTTCTAGAGATCCAGGTGAACAGAGAAAGCAATACACTCTATCCTGTGCTGATAAGCATTTGGACTCAAAAGGACATTTGCTCAAAATGCCTGTGGAAGCTGCCTACATGGCTCACAAATGCTGCTTCTGGGTCAATAGTTTTTTCACTTGCCCAATTTCACCAGAAGAGGATCTTCATCATACTCTAATCTTTAATATTTTTTACACACTTTACAAATCTTCATTCTTTTAAGAAGGAGATTGGCCCAGCATAGATTATCTGCAGGTATAATCTGCATGAGATCATAGAGATAATTTAACAGGACCTCCTGCTGGGGGCGGGGGTGGGGGGTGGGTGGGGGACACACATCCCGAATGGTGACACACAATGGGTATCATGCTACTGTGTCTGCCTAAGGGGGGAATCCACGGCAACTCAAGATTCCAGACAGAGAATTTCCTTTTCTATCAAAAGGAACTGAATATATTTTTTCCCATTCCAGCTGGGTGGCAGAGAACACAGGCATAGCATACAGAAACAGGTGGCAAAAAGAGACAACTAGATAACCTGGGGTCCCACAAACACAGAGAGAGGAAAGCTCCAGCAGGGTAGGTGACCCTACAGCACACCAGTGGGGGTGCACACCTCCTTAGAAACAACAGATAAGGATGGTACTCAGAGTGAACACTGCGGGGGCTGCCCAAGCAGACTGAGTTTTTATAAATGGCAACACAGAGTCTCACACAAGAAGATGCAAAGTCAGCACAGACTAGCTCAGGATGGGGGTGAGGTTCACATAAAACACACCTAGACAGTCACTTCCTTTATGAGATGGTGTCAGAATGTCTCTGCACAACCCTTATAAGGATTATAACCCATGAGTGTCTGAAAACTGGCAACTTTCCTCTCTCTTTCTCCACACTGCCTTTCTCCTAAGAAAGATCTGGCTGCCTGCTGGACTCTGATGGGATGGCGGTGGACATGGCTATGGGACTGGAGGGCTAATAGGATTTCACATTGAGAAGGGAGCAAACTCCTGGTGTGAGGACAGAGGAGACAGAGAAGGGAAGAAGGACACTGGCTCCCCTTGCCACCCCCCATCCTCCCCACCAAAAAAAACCCCACAAAAAACACAACAACCCTAAAACAACTGAACAGTGTGCTTGGGAGCAGGAGCTATTTTGGAGTAGAGTTTTGGGGAAAATTAGTTGCAGGAGATGTGGGGCACCTGTTGGTGAATGTGAGCTATAAGTGGAAAGAAATGCAGAAACAAGTTTTCACTTCAGCTGGGCCTGCTGAGTGGCGTCTTTCATTCTTTGCATGACTCCAAGGAAGATTTAAGCTACTTTGCAATTAATTTTAAACATTAGACTGATATTTCCTCAATGGCAACTTTGTGAGGCTTTGGATCAAAAAGTGGCTGAATTTTACAGGGTGCAACTTAAAGTTAAGCTTCCATTAAAAGTATAATAAACTATGTCCACTTCTCACTCATAATGAATTCTTCTTGTTATTGTCCTAAAAGCCTTAATTTAGAGAAACTTCCAAGTATTTTTTACATGGCTGGATCGTGGAGGCCACTTAAATATTATTTCCTCCATTCCAATGTTGGCAGTGGGGAGATCAACAAGAGTCTTTTTTCCAGGAAGCCGCTCTAGACCGGTCATCTTTAGATGTGTTCCAGGTGACAAAGACAACAGCAGGTGCAGCTGAGGAGAGAGGGACTGAGGTTGGCATGCAGGGGGCCCCAGACTGCTGGGAGCATGGGCGCCCTAGCAAGGGACCCCCGATTGACCTTTGAGGTGATACACAGCACATCTCCCTAGGGGTGGGCTCCTCTAGTTTTTAGTCATTTCTCCATCCCATAGCCATGCTCTCAAAGTGACAAAGACTCCAGAGAGCCATGTTCCCATAGGTGGAATGAAAACAGCTCATAAAGGTTGGGAGCCGGGGGTTAGGAGGACCCTTGCTCACCAAATCATTCTCTGGGACAACGTGACATCAGGTTCCATGACAACAGATCGCACTTCTTATTGACATGGGACCCTGGTCAAGTTTCTTAACCTGTCTGCTTAACCCTTAGATTCCTTAACTGTGAAATGCAGAAGTTAACGCCACCTCCCTCACAAAGAGATGAAATGAGAAAAATCTCTACTTAACACTCAGGACAGTGATTGGTATGTAGCAAATACCTCACAAAGGTTACTTCTTACGCTCCCTATCACTGATCCTCTTAGTATTATTATACTAACCTAATTTTTCACATGATTAAACTTGAAAACCTATACCTAAACTTGAAAGTGCATCTCCTCTGCTTTCCCTACACTCACAGGTGATTCCTACATAATTATGAGTACCCTTTCCTTAAGGTTGGTTACCTTTCCTAGTTTCCTCTCTACCTTTTTCATTACCCCAATCTCGTAAATCCTTTAGGGTTTGGCCCTTGCCTAACACCCCCAAGAGAAGTGGCTGTTGATTAATTCTATGAATTATTTCTTCAATGAATCTGTAGCTCTGTGTTGAGAATTGTCTTTTGGCACATCTCTCTTCTATTATCATTATTTATACATTGTCTTATCTGCCCTACTCAACTGTAATTGGCTGTAGAGACAGGTCAAGCCCTATTTACCTTTGAAACATCTACAGCATCTGTACCTGATGAGGTAGTAATTATTTAATAGGTATTTTTAGATAAATGAGTGAAGATAATAAGATAATAATCAAATAAATTATTCATGATACACAATGTCCTCTATTAAATTAAAAAATAGGGTGCTAACCTATGAATGCTTGTTCCCACGCTCTGAGTCAACACCCAATCACACACAGCAAACTGGGTTTGTGTGTCACTCAGATTTGTCATACATTGTCTCTACCTTCAAATCCAGAGCATTAAAGCCGGGGTGATTCCAGGACCTTGCAACTTGCCTGTTAATTTTAGCCATTACCTTTATATATATTAATTTCTGAGAGTAAATAATCAATAAACATCCTTATCCCTTGAATGAGAAAAATTCGGTGATGGGTTTATGTATTTTCCATCAGAGGTCAACTCTAGAGCCAAATACTCCCTCCTTGCTAGCACTGATAAAATACAATTTGCATTACATCCCACTGCATAGTGGACTCTATGTCAGTGATGGGTTTCTTGTATGTTACTCATGTTCTACAAGCAATTCCTAATAATTCCCATTTCAACATCTTGGAAGCAAGCCCCATCTCTTGTTCTTTCCTTACATAGATACACTGAAATGTTTAAAGGTACTCAAACATACGTACCCACTAATGGAGTCCAGAAACCCAGTAGCACCAGAGAATTGGGGCCAGTCGAGCTCATTGGTAAGAGCTATTGGTAAATTGATGAAGGATTTCTAAAGAAAAAATAAAGTGGTGATTATAAAAACGGTCATCTGTTTTTTACAGGTAGTAAGATTATTCATTGTCTAGGCATTGTTCTCTATTTTTCTCACTCTCTTTTTCTTAATCTCTCTCTTTAAGGGACTTTGACATATATGAAGTATATGCCTATCATCAGAAACCTCACAAAGATCAGCATCACTCATGAACTGGCTTCCATTCAGCTTCTGCGAAAGATGCGAAATGCATGGCTGCTTATACTCATCCCTCATTTGAAAGGGATGCTTCAGTAGATGGGTAAACTTTCCACTTTTTTAAATGTGCTGGGATTTTCTCCATATTTTAGTTTAGATATTCAGGAAATCAACTGTCTAAAGCGTAATAATACCCACGCCCCCAGCAAAAATGCCTTCCCTGAGTTCAAAGCTATGTCCTCAGTCAATCAGACAGTGTCTCCTGACCTCCTTAGGAGTCTCAGGCACCTCTGAGAATCTAATTTGGGCTACTTTACTCCCAAAGATGCACATATACTTTACATGGCTTATGATTTCAAGGGGTTCACAGACCCCCTGCATTTCTAGCACAGACTCCAGTTTTGAAGAACTCCTGACACAGAGTGTTGACAAAACCAGGATTCATTTGAACCCTGTTTCTATGGTTTATGCAAAATCACAGCATAAAAATGATGTCAGCTATGTCCCCTTATTTTTCCTTTTATAAATACCTTCTGGGATCAACCTCTACTCTGGTCTAATTTCTAGAAAAAGCTTATCTAGACTGATGTGTTCAGAATAGGGTTGCCAAATTTAGCAGATAAAAATAGAGGATGCCCAGTTAAATTTGAGGTTCAATACACAAATTGTGGTGTATACATACAATGGAATACTATTCAGGTTTAAGAAGAAGGAGATTCTGACCCATGCTACAACATGGGTGAAAATTACGGGCATTATGCTAAGTGAAATAAGCCAGTTTCACAAAAAAGATAAATACTATATGATTTCATGTGTGTAAGGTATTTAGAGCTGTCAAACTCATAGAAACAGAAAGTAGAAAGGTGGTTGCCAGGGGCTGGGAGTGGATGTGAGGGAAGTGGATGAGGGCCCCATCCTTATTCTTGTCCCAAGTGTGATTTCCAGCACAAGGGAGGCTGAAAGTGGAAGAGAGGTGACTGGGAAGGATGGCTTCTCGGGATTGACTATGTTAACTAGCAACAACAATGGTGTATTATCATTAATAATTACCATAATTATGTATTAATTATATAATAATACTAATGTATTAATTATGATTTATCTCCATCAAAGGAGCAGAGACAAGGTCATGGAAAGGAGGCTGCTGATGAACCTTAAAGCACCACGCAGTCCCAGTGACTGGCACTTTGTCACCCCCTTAGCAGGAGGCACCCACCACTTTCTGCTCAAAACTCCACCATTATTGTGAGTCAGATACTCTCTGTTTTGGTTTCTGTTTCTGCTGCCACCATAAATCAAATGTTATCTCTGGTTGTTGTTGTTGTTATTGTTTTTAATCTTATTTTTTCTCTAGGTCTTTCTGCTTTCAAAGTGTGTTTGGTGTAGGATTTGAGAATATTCAATTCTTCCAGTGAAAACAAGAAAAATAAACAGAACGGATGAAATTCGTAAGACGTGTTAAATGGAGATAGTGAATAAGCAAGTGGCTTGTGAGATGTAGGCAGAATTCATGCGCTGTGTTAAGCTAGCAGCCTGTAGAACACGTTGGAAGTTAAAAGAAGGATACAACACTCCCGGATACCACTCTCTGTCCTTTTTCTCAGTCATCCGCATAATAACCACCCCAGATTTGGGGAACTGGCAGGGAGCTAGGCTTCTGACTCTGGGCCGTCAGCTCTGCCTTTCCCAGGGAGTTAGACAGGAAGGCTGCCAGCACAGGGAGGCGTGTCTGCGGCTCTCTGCAGCCTGGAGCCATAACAGAGGGGGTGCCGGCAAAGTAGGAAAAAGCTTTACTTTAGAAATCCAGGAGCTCTGACTTCTGTGTCTGGCTCTCCCAATACAGTGAAACTCCACAATCTGGATATGACACATCGGAAGTGGTTTCCATATCCCATCCAGCCCCATTCTCAGTCAGAGGTGGCTGATAGAGTGTTTATCTTCCCAGCTGGGGAAGAGCAGATGTGGAGGGAGGGGTAGGACAGGCGAGGAAATGGCCAGCAACCTCGTCGTGGGAAGTGGGGTCTCTCAATTCAGTCTCTGGATCAATCTGAAGAAATGGATCTCAAATACCTGGGAGACTCTGGGACTTCTTGCTGCTCTCAAAAAAGCCCCAACCAGTCCTGGAATCATCCCCAGATGGTAGCTGATGCTGAATCACAGCGGGAACCAGGGTGGGTCTGTATCCCGCAGTTGGAGCCCTGGAAGGCCCAGGAAGTTCAGCTGCATAGGTTTCTCCCAGTCACTCGAGTAACCCTGAAATAATACAAATCTGTTTCCCTGGTTAAGTGCTTTAGACTTCACTTATGGTGTTATGGCCAAGTTTTACTTTTCCTAGCTGTGCAAAATCAGGGAAGATGGAGCTTTACCAATGTGTCAGTTTTGAGATCTCTGATGGCTGTCGAATATTACTCTATCTACTTCAACAGGAATGTTGGGAGGATCTAAGGACAGCGAGGAGAGCAGGTTGACAAGTGGAAGCCCTACACTATGTAAAGGATCATGCTTGGATGGATCACCTAGAGTCCCTTGCCAAGTGGATTGTCCCAGGTTTAAGAGAACTGAAGTTTATTGCCAGATAATAGAAAAGATTTGAGCAGACAAATGGAAGCCTTTACATACTTTTTCTTCCTTGGTAAATTTGGTAGATAAAAATGAGAAGTAATGGCCATTAATGGCAAAGGTTTTATAGACCCTAGCAAAAAGAGAATGTTTAAGTCATATCACATTAAACACTAAAAGCCTTATTCATGCAACATTATACTTTCAGGCATTTAAGGCAGGAAAGATGCAAATTAAGATTTCCCTCATCAACTCCTGCTTATTCCTCGTGAGCATTTATGTTCTCAGGAAACTCGCCTTAAATGTACCTTAAATGTACATATGTGGAAAGACTTAATATTTACCAAGAAAAATTTCCCCAATTTGTAAAGAGCATCAGAAACTCAATGAGCACTAAGTCAACTACAGCATTGCTTCAGATTATCTTCTGATTTTATCAATGATATAAAATGTTTTTATGTCATAATTGGCATGTATATACTATTTTTGTGTAATATTTTCACATTATTCTGTGTGTGTGTGTGTGTGTGTGCATTGAGAAAGCCCACTGGTTCTCATTTTTAACGCATATTCAGTAAACATAATACTTTAGATTTGAGTATATTTTAAGCCCTAACTTCAACAGGCAACTTACATTTGGGTTTCTTAAAACCATCTTCAGTGAGAGAAAAGAGAGTAATGGTATCAATCACACATTCATCTGGTCGTGCCAATCTTCCAGCGATAAAGGGAATATTCTTGATGCTTTTATTTCACTGTCTCCATTTCAGCCCTCCCTATCCAGCAATGCTGTGGACAACTTGCACAGTACATTCCCTTTTCCAATACTGTTAACTGGGTTAGATCTAAGTTGTTTATTTTCAAATAATAGAAAGTCACTTGGAAGACTCTGCAGCTAACTTCCTTTGGAAAAAGACACGAAAAATATCATCCTCAGTTAAATGAGTATTTTAAAATTTATTTCCCAGGAACTAAACTCTCAAAGCAGACAGGTTTTGTTGTTTTACTCAAAGAAGAAAACAGCTCTTAGGTTGGTCTTTTGATAATGGAGCAAGAATCCGAAGGCCTGGGAATCAGAGGACAGCTCTCTGTTTAGTTTTGGGACGCGGAGAGTCTACCCGCGCTCTTGGTCTGCCACTACTTCATCTGTCCTGCAGGTGGCGTAGATGAGGCTGTCCTCCTGCTTTCGGCCTTTCCATCCCAAAGGCTCACTGTAGGACTTCCCACCTTCTGCTTGTCTCTCAATCTCATCACCCCCACCTCTCCTCCTCTTATCGCCGCTACTACCTTAGCGCCTTTCCTTATAGGAATACCAAGTCATGAAACTTTAAGTGCCCTCCTGGACGCTCACATAAACTTTCTTGCTCTGGTCCTATTCCTTTAGGCTTTGGTATGTGAATTAGTCCTGTAAGTGAATGTCTATCCATTCATGATGCTTGCATGTCCTATGTTTCCCAGATAGCTTTTGCACTGTAGGCCAGAGTAGGGAAGGGAACGAATAATGAATTCCCCTTATGTGCCAGGCACTGGGATGGGAAACTTAAACACGCTGTTTAACTTCACCAAACATCTCTGTGAGGCAGGGATTCGTCTTTTTCCTTCCTTCCTCTCTCCCTTCTGCAAACACTTTTTGAGCAACTACCATGTATCAGATGCTGGATACTACCTCTCAAAAAAAGAATGAGTACCCAGGCCTCAACCTACTCGGATATACTGAAAAAGCCCCTTTTATGGTGGCACCTCCTGTCACTGGTTCTGGGTCACAGAGGAGTCTGTATTTTCCGGGCAGAAACTGGGCAGTGCGGGACCCAGGAAAACTATGGCAAACAGAACTCAGAGGGAGTTTGGGTGACTTGCCAACGTCACAGAACTGGTAATAGGGGGCTGGGATTTGCACCCAGATCCTGGTGGGACTAGGAAGGGAGAGGCTTGGAGCAGGCCAGAGTTCTAACAACGTAGGCTTTCAGTAACCCATTTATATCTGTCCTTGCTTTTCCCCTAAGCTGCCAAATCTCATGAAATCACAAACTTGGCTAAGCTGGGTCTACCAGTTGCTGAAAATGAGGCTTCCTGGGTGTCTACTGAATGGATGGTCTCTTGGATACTGCTTTGGGTGAAAAGTTCAGAAATCTACAGGTAACTGAGGAGTGGCTGCCATCTTTTCCTCTCTGTTTCTCTTATATGGAAGCCATACATTACTTATGAGGAGTATAGAATGAATATTTTTGGGATACATACTGAAACGATATGTGACCCTACAC